AGGAAAGAAACTCTTTGAATACCGAGGGACGCTGTGATGCATCTACTGGTGACCAGCGACGGTAGCCTCTGGGCTATGATTATTGTTCGCCTCGGCGGTCTTGAGCGTGCCAGCGCCGGCACCGGTGCTGTGCACAACGGGCTTTTCGGTGTCTGCAAAGTCGGTAGCTTTTCCGCTCTGCAGACGCAGAGCTGCATAGTCGACCTTTCTCATGGAGAAGAGGTGGATCATTGCAAAGACGGGCTTGGCGAGAATGTCCACTGGGAGAAGGGGGGGGCGCGCGAAAAAATGGGGAGTGATGTGGAGCGTTAGAGGTGCGGAGAGGTGATGAAGCAAGCGCATTTTGTGATTGGCGAGATGAGATGGCTCAGAATTACTCACAGACGCCGTAGAAGACCATCTCGCCGGCTGGTGAGATGGTGTTGGATCCATCACAGAGACCCCAAGAGATGGGGTAGCAGAACCACAAGAAGGACAAGATGGCTGCACCAGTCACGTACGTCTTTTGGATTTCGCCACCGTGTCTACGAGCAGAAGCGAGACCGGGACCGTAGAGGACGTAAAAGACGCCAAACATGGCAACGTTGCCAAAGGTAAAGTATCCCCACTTGTAGGTGGATGGAACGAGGGCTCCGACTAGACCCGTAATGATCATCACTTCGTCCGCAAAGATTGTGCCGAAAATTGCAGAGAGGGGAAGACCGGAAACGAGGAGAAGCTCGAGGAGCAAGAGAGGAGTGGTAATGACCCAATCGATGTAGCGAACTGAAGGTGGTTCGAACAGCAGCGATTGTCAGTCTCCATTAGCATACTTTGAGTGCATGCTTGGCTCGGGAGCGTTCTGCGATCGGCTGGCGCCACTCACCATACCAGATGGAGCGAGTAGCCCGGGGAATGGGATCTCCGTGAAGGAACTCGACGGGGATGGCGGTAGCACCGAGGTCAGCGGCCAAGGAGAAGTAAGCTACAGACGCGGTTCCCAGAATAGCGATGGTGAGGTAGTGGAAGGTTCTTTGACCAGGAGGAACCGTGAAGGCCCATCCCAGAGTGATGAGCAAGGTAAAGACCATGATGGAAAACACTGCCCACAACCAACTGGATGCTCCAGTGGTAATGTCAATGTCGGCCACAGTGGGGTTGATGGAGAGCACATCGTTGCGCGAGACGAGATCGTTGAAGTGCTCCATGTTCGGCAACAGAAGTTGTGGTGCAAGTTGAAGAGATTTGCGGGTCAAAGGTCACGCAAGGGCGGTGGGGATGATGGTTGGAGGGAAAATATGGGCAATGGTTGCAAGACGGTTTTGTACTCAAGCTTGGTGAGCTGAGCGCCTGCAACTCGTTCGCCTCCACTACAAGCCCGATGAAGCGTATGCTGCCAGGGCAGGGTTACGATCCGGACAAAGACTTGCGCTGACGATCGCCTGTTGCATCTACACGGAGGCGGAGGGTTCAAATCACTGCTTCTAAACGAGATTTGCCTTGTCTTCAAGGCTGTACCTCGTGTACCTCGGCGGGTCCCGCCGGGCACTTCGAGAGCAGACCGGCAGGGTCTATTGCCAAAGTTGCAGTTGCTCAGGGCTCCAAGGGCTAAAGCCACGAGTCGTCTTCACAGTCCCCTGCTAGCCAAAGAGATCCGGCATCGGCGCTTGCCCTTAACGTTGGAGCGCTGCCCGGGCTCTCACGTCTCGGAGTTTATAGGCGAACTGAAGGGCGCACGCATGGATGCCCTTGGACACTGTCGCCAAAAGCACCATGACAAACCAGCTCGAGTCTCAATATCATGCTCAGCAGCCAACGACCAGGCATTCGTCGCACACGCACCCGCACCCGCACACGCAGATTCGTCGACGACAGCTCCGACGAAGCGGTCGTGAGCGGCCTCGATGGCTGCATGCTGATTAGAAAATTCAGCTTCGTACTTGTGACTGTGCTGGGTCTGACGCCATTCACTCTCGACTCCGATCCGGCGGCCCGTCAGTCAGAGTGCTGTGGGGTCAAAGATGAATGCAGTTTTTGAGTCAGAGTACTTGGCGATGGTCAGACCCACGCTGATGACGTAGGGCCAAAAGCAGAATAAGCCTCAAAGATTTCGGCGGGATCATGGCAAAGCATTCAGAAGAGCTTGAAGGAGGGGAAATATGGACCCTGCCTTCATTTGATCCCTTAGCGTATGCGTCGACAGTCATCAAGAAGTGGCTGGATGAATAGGTGAGAACCTTCGGCATGACGGCTGGCTGTATGCAGTCGGACCCGCCGGTAATACTCGCACTCGCAACACTCGTGACTCTAGTCAGAGCGTCACTCAGCTGCACCACTCTCCTGCAATCTCACTCACAAGTGCGTCAAGCTGCGGTCGGTAGGGAGCCAGCAGAGGCAAAGGCAAGTCTGCAAGGCTGGCTTGTTGGACAGAAAGCCTGCCTCCGCTGGCGATCGTCAGGCGGACCAACGGCAAGCGCTTTGGTAAAGCGGATGTATGCGAGGTGGCATCGGTGGCCATGCAAAATCGGTCAGTAGTCTGTCTAGTCAAGAGTGCGATGCTGCACTCGCGTGACTCCAGCCCACTTGCGTTTCAAGTCGCACCACATATCCACGGATCGGCGGTGGAAAGCGTGGGTCTCGATGCTCTCTTCTGTGCGCAAAAAGACTGTTGTACTACACCGATAAGCCCTTGAGATCGTGTGTGTTCTACAAGATTTAGACTTTGCAGAAGTCTGCGTCACCTGGCCCTGACTGGCGGTGTGCTGCTGGCTCTACTCACACTGCGACAGAAGGCACGAGAACAAGCTCCATCCCCGGAGCGCGGTGAAGGGGCAGACCCACAACAACATTCGTGATGCACGATTGTCTGGCTGCATGTCCCTTCGAGCGCTACCTCTTCACGATCCGGATGGGCTCCCGGTCGGACGATGAGAGAGACAATTTGAATTGAATGAGAATGATAGCACGAAGAGCCCAGCTGGTGATGCAGGGTCTTTGCTAAGCACGCACAGAGAGATGCACGTTGATGCACTGGGCCGATCCAGCCACTCGTGACTAGGGATGGGTTTGTCACGTCAAATATAAATTTGGCAATGTGAAATCACAAAAATCACATGTGAACAGCTGCATATCACATGTGACAAATGTGACATTTTTGGACCTTGTGCATGACACTCAAGCAGTGTCCAACATATAGGGGCCAAGCAGTCAGCGCACAGCTCATGCAGGCAATGTGACATGTGATCAGCTCAGGCCAGTTTGGTGTGATTTCACGTGACAAATGTGATTTCACACTGTCACGGTGACTGTGACTGGCCATCCCTACTCGTGACCGTTGCAGCTGCAGCTGTGTAAGGTGGAGGCGCTAAGTCGCGCAATCAAAAGAAATCAAGAATCCACCGACGAGGGTCGAGGTGCGTGGACATATGATGTCATCACGGTATCGCACGCACGCACGCACGCACGCTCAGCCATACGTGCCAGCTGCGTGCGGGTACTTTTGACTCAGACTCTGAGCTGACTCGTGACTCTTGACTTGAATCAATTTTGAATCCAAGATCCTCATTCAATTGTTGTGACCCTGACCGCCTGTACTCACCACTCATGCAGGGCGATGATTCTGACTGTAGATGCATGCAGCTCAGCTGTCAGAGACGCGGGCCGGCCAAAATCACGGCGCGAGGTCTGAGCCTCTTCTGACGCGTGACTCGATCTCTGCTGCTGCTCAACTCACAATCTTCTCAGCCCCCCTCCACTTCTCATCATAGGTACCTTCTCACCACTCAGTCACAGGGATGCGATCAGAGTGCGCTACTACTCTCATCGCGACCCGTTCCTTCTTCTCACTATAGGGATGATATTGCATCGCATCGCTGACGAGATTCGCCATTCTCTCCTCGGCTCTGCAGCAGCCGGACCTTGACCAATCCTTCCTCTTCCTGCATGGGTTGGCGCGCCTCAGAAACATTCACGGATTGACGAGCCCTCCCGTGCGTCCCTTTGAAGCTCGAAGTCGCATCAGCTGGTGGCCGTTGTACTTGCCCTGCGCTACCACACCGCCACGCTCTTACGAAGACGGCCTCCGCCTCGAGACTGGAAGCGTTTCCGCATCATATCGTAGTGCATCGCAACGCATCGCAACGCAACGGCGGCGCGGCCTTGCGACTTTCGCTTGCACTCCCCAAGGCAAGCTAGACGACACCCTCCGAGATATAGCTGGACCGGAAAGCAGTAGCAGCAGCAAGCAGCAGCCACGTTTGCTCCTCTTCACTGGTCGAATACGCGGCTCCTTTTAGCTTTGTACTCGAGGCAGCACACATCCGATGATAGCGGCGCCGCTTCACCACCCTCAAGCATCGCCGCTCCTCATCAGTAACGGGTCGCATTGCTGATTCGACAAGCGTACGCGATGACATCCGGCCTTCTTAACCAGGGAGAGCGCAGAGATCCTCATCCGTACCTGTCAGGCAATTATGCGCCCGTCAGGACGGAACTGCCGCTAACAGCTTGCCGCTATGAGGGCCGTGTACCGGATGAGTTCCGAGATGGACAATACTGTAGAAATGGTGGCAACCCCTTATCAGGCGAGGACGAGATGAGGGACGCGCACTGGTTTGATGGCGATGGTGAGTGATGCCAAGGCATATATGCGATAGAGGTTGGTGAGGCGCAGCCGTAAGCTGACTCAGGTGCTATCACAATGTGATCCAGGCATGCTCACTGGAGTGCTTTTCAGACGCATGCCGGATGGAAGTGTCAGACCAGAGTTCATCAATCGCTACGTCTTGACAGATGTGCTGCTCGCCACTTCGCCCCGCTCGACTCGACCTTTGCTACCCAGCATTGCCACTTTCTCCTCGCCCTACATCCCTCTTCTGAGCGTCTTGCTAGGCGTCCTGCGTACACTCGCGCTCTGTCTCTTGACCTGGCTACCAGGCTCGGGCTGCTCGGCCGTTGAGGAGCAAGAACGGAGGCTCAAGCGGATCAGCGTGGCAAATACCAGCGTGTGGTTTCACGATGGGAAAGCTTTTGCCGGGTGCGAGAGCGGTCCGCCACTGCGGGTATTGCTGCCGGGCATGGAGACGGCCGGATGGTGGTCTGGACAAGACGTTGCAGACCGAGATGTCGATGACTCCGAGGTGGAGACTAAGCATCGCAAGTCGCATGGGTGGGGCAAGTCTGGCGTGGCAGGGTTGTTTGCAGAGATGACAACAGCACATCCGCACGTGGACCCAAAGACTGGGGAGCTGCTTCTGTTTCACATGTCTTTCTTTGCGCCATTCCTCAGGGTCAGCATCATCCCGCCCAAGAAAGGATCCGCTGAAGGCGACAGCAGGTCTCGAGACCAGCGGCAAGGAGCGCAAGCACCGCTTCTCGGCGTGGAAGTACCGGGCATCGCGCAGCCTAAGCAAATGCACGATGCCGGCTGGTCATCAAGGCACGGCATCATGCTGGACTTGCCGCTTTCCCTCGATCCTCGCAACATGCTGCGAGGTAGACCCATGCTGCACTACGACTCTGCTGGGCCTACCAGATTTGGCATCTTTCCGCGAAGGGAGCCCGAAAAGGTCGTGTGGTTCGAAGAGGCTCAAGCTTGCCTCATTTTTCACACTGCCAACGCTTGGGAGGAGCAGAGTGAAGATGGTCGAGAGAGTGGTGCGGTGAGCTTGTTGGCTTGCAGACTCAACAGCGCAACGCTAGTCTACAGTGCTGGCAACACCATACCTCCGCCTCACGCGCTGCCTCCTGGCGGCCGAGCGGAGCAATGCCGTCTCCACTACTGGCGCTTTCCCGACATAGAGCAGGATCGTCAGCCAGCACTCACATTGCCGCGACGGCCAAGCCACTCTTTTGCGCTCAGTGCCGTACCTTTCGAATTTCCCACGATGAATGAAGCTTGCGCAATGTCCGAAGCATCGTTCGTATATGGCGCATCTATGCGTTCAGGCTCTTTCGACGCTGGCTTGGGACGACAAAGCGCCAAGATAGATTGCTTGGCCAAGATCGATGCGGCCAAGCTTGTAAGGCGGGGACTCGAGCAGGGCATCGGGACAGAGGTGGCAGGGTTTTGCGTGGACGACCGCACGGTGCAGGACATTCTTGACGAGCAAGGAGCGCAATTCGAATGCGCACACGGATCCTCATCCGACCAGAGCAGCGCTTCAGCCGCCATTCGGATCTTTGCACTGCCTCCCAATCACTTTGCTCAGGAAGCAACCTTTGTACCGCGCAGAGGTGCAATGCAGGAAGACGATGGATGGCTAGTCTTCTTTGTCTTTGATGAGTCTCAGCTGGACGACGATGGGCGCGTGCTACACGATGCGACGTCTGAGCTCTGGATTCTGGAAGCGAAGACGATGCGCGACGTGATTTGTCGGGTCAAGTTGCCTCAGCGAGGTGAGTGCGCCCGCCATCACTGCCGCATTTCCTTGACATGGCCGTCCTGACGTGACGTGGTTTGGTTGCATTGGTGCGTATTCAGTCCCTTATGGCCTTCACGGACACTTTTTCAACGCGCAAGAGATTGCTTCTCAAGAGCCTTTGAACGATGAGCAAATCAGAACTTGGATACTGGCCTCTCAGGGAGTTGTCGGACCCGGTATGGGCACAGGCGGCAAGCCGGCCGTCGACCTCTATGCCGGACCGCTCGCTTTCCAAAGACGGGTCACTGCTGCGATGCGCTCCACGCTAGAGTCTTGGCTCCTTTGACCAAGCATGCCCCTCGGATGCTCGAAGATAGTGCTCTGTGTCATTTGGCAAAAATGCTCCGCCATTCTGGATCGTGCATATCGTAATGCTTGCAATTGTATCATAGCCGCATACACGCCTACTTTATCAAACACCAATGACTGTTTCTCTTTCGCCAACAAGGTGTGAAGAGCTTGAGCTGAGAAAGTCTTCAATTGCTCCTTTGCTTGCTTTGCCTGCTTCTCGTCAAAAATCTTTCTGGTGACTAGCAGCTCGAGTCACGACATGGGTTGGACTGCTCTGCTACGCTACACCATTCGTGATTCGTGGATCGAGAAGTCTAGAAACAGGCTTGCATTTTTGACTCTTCTGAGTCAGAAGAGATTGAACCAACAATCGCAACAATCACAATTTGAATCAGAATTGAATGGACTTCATGAGAAAGGAGGGCGACAGGAGTCACGTGAGACCAAAGTCACGTGTCGATCGGCTCGCGTGTCGTGCAGGCGGTCGCGTGAGTTCCCCACAAATGAAAGACCCATCGGTTGGCTTCTTGGCTGCATGCATCATGCCGTCGTGCACTCACGACTGCGAAGGGAACAGATTCGTAGCGTGGATGAGTTTGATGGTCAACACTCTTGAGCGTTCCATGCGACCTTTGTCTGCTCCACGACCCACGCACATCAATTCGCGAAAGCTGAGGAAGCAGGCTTGGAGGACGTCTACGGGCCGCCGTGTGTCTGCACAGGACGCTCGACGAGGCTCATTGCAGAAGGGTATACTGGAGCATACAGAACAGTCACATTTTGCGCAAGACGGACAGATCCTGCTCGGCAGCCAAGCAACGTGGCTCTTGCCCCCTGCATAGTCTGGAGTCGAAGGAAAGCCGCAAGAGTGACATCGATGCTGTACTGCAAATTGCAATGAGCTACGCAGCGACGTCCGTGGTGAGTGACTAAGCTGTTGCCCCTTGGTCTCCTACTGTGCTTGCTTTGATGGATGGGCTTCCTGACTCTGCCATGCGTCTGTTCTCGGCCTCATTCCGCTGCAGGACGCCCTTGCGGACCTGGTGGCGGATACTGTTGCAAGCAACAAGTTGTCTACGTCGAGAGTGGAGCGCATCACGACGCTGGCCACGCTCAACCTCGATGTAAGTATTCGGCGGAGTGAAAAGGTCTTTTGGACGGGGGGTCGCGGGAGGAGTTGCTGTCCAGCGAGCGCACAGACGTAAGATGGTCATTTGGCGCATTTGTCCTCGGCACCGCGCCGTAGCGCCGGACACTCTGCACGCGTGCAGCAAATCAAGCAATGGTGCTGATCCTTCTGGGCTCTGCTTCCCTCCCGCAGAGTCCAGAAGACGTAGTCAATGCTCTGCTAAGTGCGCATCGCACTGCGAGGCCGTCTACAGTGGTTTCGTCACTCTACCTCTACGACGCAGTGGTACGCAGAGCTCGGGACATTGTCAAGAAGAAGGGCCAGGGCTGCGAGATGAAAGGCGAGGCGGGGCCGAGCACCTCGAAGCAACGAGTATGGTCGTCGGACGCGCTTGCGCGTCAAGCTCGCGCTCTCCTCAAAGCTGCGAGCGCCTCGGTGGAGGAGGTGGTGATCTCTTCCATGCGGCACTCTAGGCCTGAACAACGGGTGGGTACGAGGACTGAGCCACGACACGGGCAGATGCGGGCATCTTACCAGCGCTCCTTTCACGCGCAGGAAAAGGTTTACAAAGTTCTCGACATCTGGACAAGGACGTCCACCTTTGATTCGGATCATCTCAAATCCATTCGGGCGACTGCCCAAAAGGTCGAAGAGAAGGCCAAGGCTGCAGAAACGCACTCAGCTTCTTCAGATCACACCAGACGTGCTTCGCCTGATAAGCCAGCCCGCCATGTACCCAAACAAGGTCAATACTCATTCCAAGACAATATGTCTCGTTCGTTGAGTACAGCATTCTATCAGCTTGGCAAACACGAAGCTTTTGGAGGGATTGCGGTTGTGATTTGCCAGCCGATGATGGGCTCTCAAGCTGCTCTCTCATCGCAATGCGCCTGTATTACAGTTCCGCCGTCTGATTCACACACACTGAAATTCAATTTCTTTTTCCCTCCTGGCCTGTCTGATGCGAACAGGTCCTGAAAATGCGCAGGCGTCAGCATTGCCCGCCGGCGCGCATTCTGCACCTCTATCGGCGACAGATGCCTCGACTGCACTGCCAAGCCAGCTATTGGCCCTTCTCGGTGATGCGGGCAAGCAGGAAGAGTTGCGGAAAGCTCTTGCAACGAGCCACGTCAGGTCGTCTTTTGATGACAACGATTTGGGGATGAAGGATGCTCACGCTCTCGCGATCGAGAACATGTAAGTCATGTTGTCAGTATGGTTGGCATCGAAGACGTCGTCATGCTGAAAGCCCAAAACTGCAGCCCTGCAGCCCTCACCGGAGCAAAGCAGGATACTAGTAACGTATCCTTGCTGGAGCTTGAC